TTATTTAATTTTACTTTTTAGTATACCTTTTATTTGGTATGAGTAATTAATACATTTTCGCCCCCAGGCCCCGAAGTGGGTCAGTGACCTGTGCCCGGATGGTCTAATCCCTGTTGTTTTTGTGTGTCTGTACATTGTCCTTATACATTTACTGTACAAGGTTAGTAAGGATGTGTGATTTGTACACAGATATGTGTTTTTGCGTGTTATAAGTTGATTATGTGTGCAGTATAGCATTAGAATGCAGCAAGACTTTTACATTTTATTGCTTTTGGTTTTCGTGTTTGCATTGCATGAAGGATTGTTGTATGGGAATTTTCGACTGTTTTCTTATATTTACATTATGTACTGCAGTATAATGTAGTTAACAATTTTCTTAAATAACAGTACAAACAATTTGTCATACCACAACTTTATTACCCTTCTCCAAGAGGTCTATGCATTGAACATCTCTGTATCTGCAGTCAGTGTCAGTGTGTATGTTTGTGCATGTACAAGCATTAAGAACGTCAAGGTAAAGACGTTCAAGGTAATAAATAAATTCAGCCCAATCCGCTGGTTACCATGGACACGCTACCCTCACGCGCCCCGGGCTTTTAGTTAGCCGCGTTACCAACAGATGGCGTTAATCGGCGTTCAGTGGCTCACGTTTTTTTAATCGATAAAGGTAAACGTTTTCCTGTCTTTCTTATTATAGTCTTTGGTTTGTAGCAACCACTTCAACTACTGTACTTCCAATAACAGGTTAGTTGATATGTTATCTTTCTCTTAACTTTATTGCTATACATTATTTATTTTATATCGTTTTCTTCATCATGGGAAATGGTTGTTGTAATATTTCCATACGTTCTCTTTGTTTGACGAGACTTTTACCTCTGGGTATAAGTATGGGACCCAAACACAGTTTAATCTTGTAAGTACATAGTGGGCAATTACTGCTCAGGTAACAGTGTTCCTTTACAGAAGCAGTACAGAAGCTGAACAATGATGAGCAATCTTTAACCAATGTTAAACAGATGGTCCATCAGATGGTTTAAATCCTATGGGAAGTGTTGATGGTGGTGATGAATACGCTGCTAATGGTAAATGTAATTTACTCACTTTTTTGTTGATACATTAAGCAGGTTATTTGTTGGATTAATTTAAAGGGAAGTGTGCTTGACTATTTTCTTATACAGGTATAAGAATGTACAATAATGGGCTTAAAACTACCAGTAAAAATAGTCATCTTTAATAGATTTATTCCCAGCATAGTTCAGCTTTCAAAATTATGAACATGAATTAACCCAATAATTTAGCAATAAATTAACAAATACGTGTTACAGGTGAATACCTTCATATAGATAATGCTAAATATTTTAGTTTTACTGCAGTACACATACCAACCACTCCATATGTCCACCAGTGAGAAATCAGCACCAGGTAATGATAAATGTTTCAGCATATAGTGTAGAAATTTATGATTTGGACATCCAACAATACTGAGCAATTTTGTTTTGCTTTTTACTTTTATCCTCTTCGCCACTGATCGGCTCGTTAGCCGCTTGGGCGATCAGTCACGTCTCTGATTACTTTTCCTTTTCATTTATCTTCTTCACCAAAAGATCGGCTCGTTAGCCGCCCGGGTGATCGGTCACGTCTCTGTCACGCACTGTTGGCAAATACCGGGCATGCACCGGCTCCTGAATGTACCTGAACCTGCTCCAGTGTTGGTCAAGTCTTCTCTTGAAAGAGCTCTCACTCGGTGCCGTCACAACACTCTCTGGTAGATTGTTCCAAGAGTTTACAACCCTCACTCCGAAAAAGTTTGCCCTCACAGTTTTCTGGACTTGCGGCTTCTTCAAACTTGAGCTGTGACCCCTTGTGGGGCGAGCGTCCGCCAGCTCCAAGTAAGGACACTCGACTGAGTAGTGCCCCCTGAGATGCTTATACACCTCAACTAGGTCACCCCTTGCCTGTCTATAATATAAGCTAGGCAAGTTCAGGCGCTCCAATCTCTCAGGGTAGCTGAGGTGCCGAAGTGCAGGCACCAGTCTGGTGGCCCTCCTTTGAACATTTTCAACCAACTGACAGTCCCTAGCATATCTCGGGGACCAGACGGGGTCACAGTACTCCAGATGGGGAAGCACTTCACTCTTGAAGATCGTTATGAGGGACGGACCGTCCAGATATCTGAACTAGTGCAGTTTCTTCATCCCGTTGGGACATATGATACTCCTCCTTACCGTTGGTACGCCCCAGGTGCATCCTCTTACACATCGTGACATTGAATCTCAGCAGCCATTTCTTCGACCATTCCTGGAGCCCACAGAGGTCCTTCTGCAGCTCTTCACAGTCCGCTTGGTTCTTAATTTCCCGAAATAACTTAGCGTCATCGGCAAACATTTGTTTGGTGGAGTGTAAAACGTCAGGCATGTCATTTATGAAACAAACAAACAACAGCGGGCTCAATACACTGCCCTGTGGTATCCAGCTTGTGACAGGTACGGATGACGTTTTCGTGCCATTAATCACCACACGCTGCTTGCGGTCGTGTAGAAAGTCTTCTATCCATGCTAGGACATTTCCCCGAATTCCGTACCCTTCCAGTTTGATTTTCAGCCTTTCATGGGGTACACTGTCGAAAGCCTTGGCAAAATCTAGGTAAATATTGTCGATATTACCTCCCCGTTCCAGAATATGGGTCTAAATATCCAATACCTTGAGCAATTGTTTTAAGCAGGAGCGTCCCGGCATGAAACCGTGTTGGTAATCCTTTACAAGATTGTTTCGTATTAGATGTTTCATTGCGGCATCTCTGATAATTCTCTCAAGTACTTTACATATTATGCTGGTCAGGCTCACCAGTCTACTGTATAGTTGTTCGTGGAGTGCCGATCGCCCTTCTTGAAGATAGGACTCACATAAGCCACTTTCCATTCACTGGAACCATTTGTTCATCCAGGCATTTACAAAACAGGATCTTCAGGGGCTCTGCAAGCTCGTTGCACAACTCTCTTAGCGCTCTAGGATGCACCATGTCAGGGCCGGGACTCTTATGGACCTTTAGCCTGGACAGTTTATTTCTAATACCCTCTTCTGTGAACACAATGTGGGTCAGTGCTGTGTCGAATCGTCTCTCCTCAAACGCAGGAAGTTTAATTGTATCCTCTCTTGTGAACACCGAGGAGAAGAATCTGGTCAATGCCTCAGCTTTATCCTGTTCAGAATCTGCGTAACTACCATCCACAAGCCTCAGGTCTGATACTCCTACTCGCGTTTTCAATTTCGACTTTGCATAGCGGTAAAACGCCTTTGGGTTTGAATTGACCTCGCTTGCAACCAGCCTCTGGAACTCCTTTTCAGCCCTTCTACACTCTATCTTTGCTTAGTTTCTGGCTCTTGCATACATCCTCCTGTCTTGCTCATCGGTTGACCCAACCCACGTCTTGAATTTCTGGGTTTTCTTCTTAATTTTGTCGACCGCCGCATGGTTCATGTATAGGGATCCCCTCGTATTCCTAGAAGCACTGGGTTTGGTCTTGGGTATATATTTATCGATCAAATGGATCACTTTACTAGTACGATATTCAGCGTAGTGTCTGCGTTCTTGTACCTTAATGAGTCAGGCCAATTGATACCACTCATCTCTTCACTCATCCCATTGTAATTTCCCTTGTAATATTTGCACCTTGGCCTGGCCTTATCCTGAACTAGGTAACAGTTAAATCTGAATGACAACACTATATGGTGACTGGTGCCAACTGGGGCAAGGTGTTCCAGTTTGGCCACCATACCCTCCTCGCTCGTTATGATGAGGTCAAGTGGCTTGGGTGTTTGCTCCCCTCTGTAATGTGTCGGGTCTCTAACATGTAGGAATAGAAAATTATCTCTCAGAGTTTCTACAAAAAGAGTAGCAGGGTTATTCAAGTCATTTGGGGTGGACTCGTTTCTCCAGTCGATGTCGCCATAGTTAAAGTCCCCCATGATAAGGAGGTGGCTAGGGTTGAGCATCGCCGCGTTGTTTATTGAGGTTCTTAAGTTCCTTTGATTTAGTGGGTCACAGTTTGGGGATCTGTAGATACACCCGACTATAAGTAAGTCCCCTTCCTTAAATTTTCTTTTACACCACTTGAACTCTTCGCAAACATCCTCTCCCTGTATCCTCGCCTGGCTGCTTTTTGCTTTTGTTTATTCTGAACTATGCACAGGAGTAGTTATTGTCCTCAGCAAGTTAAGTGTGAATGCCTTTTTTTATTTGGGATATTAATGTATGTTTATAAATGTTGTGCACTTGTTCATGTTATGCTTTAATTGTTGCTGCTTATGGTTGTCCTGAGTATGCTTATATTTTGCATGTACTGTACAGTACAGTATGTCTTATTAATTTAATGATGTTCATGTTCTCTACAAATGGTTCTTACATTTGCTGCCTTGAACTGATAAAAATATGTAGCATAAACATGATTGTTAGACAATAAAGGTAGCATAGCTATTCAATTTAATGTAATTAATTATGGTAGAACATGTAGCACATTTAAATAAGTGTTTTGTAGTCTGTAAGACCATTGATAAATATTGAATAAAATACTTATAAAAACAAAATAAGAGTTGCTCTTCAATTTGTCCTTTAATGAATAGAATACCCATGATATATAATATGTATGTACCAATCAAATCCACTGGGTATGTGTGAACGACTTGAGACTTGTAAAAATGTGCCATTGAACATAATCATAACAACAAACATTTTGTACTTTGTTCATGCGACTTTATTTTTGATCACCATTATGTTGACCTTAGCAGAGGTACAGAAGAGCGGGATGATTATACAGTAACGAAAATCCCTCAACTTGTTCATAGGGGGAAGCATCCCCATAAGTCTATGAGCTTGTGTACAATAATAATTAATGTATAAGAAATAAATCCAAAGGAAATTTTTGAGTCATAGATATATATACTGTATATATCGCGGTTTTCGCTAAATATTGATTTTATATAATAGTATACCCTTAAAAGATTAAGAAACTCGTAGCTTTAAAACACACACTTCCTCCTATATATTTTCCTTGACCATACCAGTCACCAGTGAAGTAGCAGCCTTAACAATATATTTACCTCAAACTTGATGTCCTTTAAGGGTAAGAATTATTATATTATAGTAGTAATTATTTTGAAAGTGTGGTAAAAAAAATAGTATCATTAGTACTTGTGTTTGTTGAGTAAATGTCATAACTTATGTTTAGTAAATACAGTAGGTACTCACGGTCATGGCTTATGTATTATGTTTTTTTAGTGTTTTATTGGTTTAGAAAGAACTCCCTGACAGTATTATATGTAGGTATGCCCTCCATTTATTTTATGATGATACTGCCTGGTACATGAGTGATCAACTGATTTATATAAACAACCATCTAAATTATGATAATAGTTATTTCGTAAAATTATCCGGAATATTTACAATTGGATAGGGTTTTTAGGTTAGGTTAGGTTAGATTAGATTAGATTAGATTAGATTAAGTACATGCACTTGATCTATTTACTCAGATTAAATTATGTTTACCAATTTTTTGTGACTTTGTGACACCAAATACTAGTTGAGAAGTGATTGGCAGTCCGATTTATTCATCTAGGACCATTATTTGACTTCATTGCGACTACATTTGGGTAATTCCTTGCTCCATCGGTACATGCACGCAATCTATTAACCCAGATTAAAGTAAGTTTTCCAATTTTTTGTGACTTTCTGACACCAAATACTAGTCGAGGTTAGGTTAGGTTAGGTTAGGTTAGGTACATGCACTCGATCTATTAACTCAGATTAAATTAAGTTTACCAATTTTTTGTGACTTTGTGTCACCAAATACTAGTCGAGAAGTGATTGGCAGTCCGATTTATTCATCTAGGACCATTATTTGACTTCATTGCGACTACATTTGGGTAATTCCTCGCTCCATCGGTACATGCACTTGATCTATTTACTCAGATTAAATTAAGTTTACCAATTTTTTGTGACTTTCTGACACCAAATACTAGTCGAGAAGTGATTGGCAGTCCGATTTATTCATCTAGAACCATTATTTGACTTCATTCTGGCTATATTTGACTACATTTGGGTAATTAGTCGGACCCCTTAACCAAACCTACCTAACCAACCAAACCTAATCTAACATAATAGTAATCTTGCATATTAATTACCTAAAATAAAATAAAAACTGAAAAGAATCGTTCCTAGATTCTGGTTAATGAGTAACTAAACATGACTGACAGATGGAGCCTTCCACAGACGTAAGAATAAGTCATGAAAATTATGTTATGCAAAGCGTATTTCTCGTGCAAATTGTTATCAGAGGAATTTCCTAAAATTGGTGAGCTGTTTCAAGATCAGACTTCACCAACACTGGAGCAGCCTCAGATACATTCAGGAGCCAGTACATGCCCAGTACAAGTGGCTAACGAGCCGTTGGAAAATAGGCGCCATCCATTAATGCTAGTGTTTGATGATAAATGAAGTAGAAAAATAGGTATAATAGTAAAGGACAAGGATCTTGGATGCCCAACTACCTAACAAAAAATATCCATTGAAAAAACTTATTTCTTAGCCCAAGAAGTAAAATGGATGGAGAAATAACACTTTTGTGAGGGCTTTAGCTCAGTATATGAACATGTCAGTGAGGGTTTGTTTGGGTGTCACCTTTTGACCCAACAACCTACTAGCCATTAGAGGCAACCAGTGTATCGATGGATACCATTTTAAGGTATACCCATACTGTAGATGAAGAATCTTGAGTGGTTCAGGTTTTCTAGGACTGTAGAATGTCATATTCCTTCCTCTTCTTAACAATATCTTGTTACCATCAGAGAGACTACAGTATGTCATCAAGAGAAGATTGTGATTCTGGGGAACTTCATCCACTGAAGACCTGGGAAGAATTAATAGAGTGGAAGGAACCAAGTGTAAACAGTGATGAGATCGTCAATGTGAAGAAGTTGTGCTCTCGGGCATCCCATCACCCCCCCACGTACCCAAACACACTTATTTGCCATGATATGAAAGGAGGGTATTTAGAAGACAGGTACTGTATGTTCTCTTTATTTGTCTAACTCTTTTGATGTGTACAGTACATTTAGTCAGTTGTAGGTAACTTGCCCCAAAAAAGTGTTAATTGCCCACCAGGACATCAAACTAGGAATTTGATCTTTTCTTGTATGGGCAGTCCCTGGTTCCATTCCTTAAAATCTTTTGTATTGAGATTTTATAAATCAGATCCCATTTTACCAAAGACTCCCATTATGAAATCTGAGAAACATTCTAAAGAAAAAATAATAATTAAAAACATCTAAAATGCTACAAAACATGTTTTTAGACAATTTTTAGTGTACAGAATGATTCTAGTCCAATAATGAGCATTATAAGTTGAAGGAACTTTTTTCTTAAATCTTTCGAAAGTAGGCCAAGGGCAGATCTAAGGGGGTCCTGGGGTCTGGACCCCCCTTTTCACCAGAAAGTTCTAATATTTTTTCTTTAATGCAGTACTGTATTGTACTTGGGCATTTTTGTTTTGTAAAAAGTATTTACTATTAACTTCAAAATATCTCCTTATATCAAGTGTGCCATGATCCCCCAAGTCTTGGACTCCCCCACCCCCCTTTTGATATTCCTGGACCCCATCAGCTTTATACTGTAATTTCCAAATCTCAGTTTGCTTTTCTCACTGCTGCTCCCCTCCCCATTTGTTGCCCCGCCTTCAGTGCCTCTTCTGTTACAATGCCTAGATCTCTCTCCTTATCAACAGTATCCGCAAAAGTATTATCAACAGAATAATTGTCAGTAGGGTTGTGGTATCCTATGTGTAAGGTCTTGCATTTTGTAACATTAAAGTCTTTTGCCAGTGTCAAGTCCATTTGAACAACTCATGCAGGTCTTTCTACATTACTGTATTGTAACATTGTCTTGACTCAATACCTTTTCAAATATTTGTGTGTCGTCTGCAAACTTGATAATATGTTAATCTATGTTGATCACAAACAGAGTGGGTCACAGTATTTGAGAATAACTTGTCTGACAGGATTTTACATGAGTTCCATAATTGTTCCTGAATTATTTCAGTGCAGTATTGAACCATACCATATCCAGGTTCTGCTGCATAACCTATAAAGGCTTCACATAGTTCCTTAACACTGATGCAACTTATAAAGGATTTCTAGATCATCCACCATTTGCTGCATGAGACAGTAACAGATGACTAATGCCGCATGAGACAGTAACTGATGACTCTAATGTTGCATGAGACAGTAACAAATGACTCTAATGCTGCTTGAGACAGTAACAAATGACTCTAATGCTGCTTGAGACAGTAACAGATGACTCTAATGTTGCTTGAGACAGTAACAGATGCCTCTAATCTCAGCGAGTGACTTGAATGTGGTGACCTTCTGCATAGCCTCAAGATGATAGAAATGATTCACAAGCTCGAGACTTTTCCCATATGTGACTTTACCTTAATCACAATCTGTGCTCGCTTGCTGTTCCTCTTAAGTATATTTTGCCTTATTTCACTCGAATCCATTAAGACTTTTGTGACATTAGTTAATAACAGGTGCTCCTCTATTTAAGAACATTAGACTTGCAAACTCTCAGAGGTACAAACGAACCTGTCCGTATGTCCGATTGACTATACATTAAGTTACTGTTAAAGGCTGGTAGGATATATTATGCAGTATTGTGTTGCATTTATTATTGGGATATAGCTGTACTGTATATCTTTTAATTTTGCTTTACTTTTTACAATGTGTTCAGTATCTGCAAGAGTAAAGTTGCAGAGGTTTTACTGTACGTTAATATCTCCGATAGCCGGAATTTAAATTTTCATGGAAAATCGTTCCCAAAGCCGTAATTTTTCAGATAATTCCAATTTTGGGATCGATTTTCTAAGGGGCACATTTTCTGGAAACTTCTGAAAAAAATTCCCAGGATGGGGGATTTTTAATCCAGGTTTGAAAGATGAATATCTGGGGCATTTTCTGGAAATTCTGAGAAAAATATTCCGGTACCCAGAAAATTATGAAAATTATAGGAATGTGGGATATTTTTCCGGGTTCAAGAGATAATGTACAGGTAATGTGTAATTTCTGGAACTTCCGAGAATATTTTTCCGTTACCTGGAAAATTCTGGGGTCGAGGGAATTTTTTACGGCTTTGAGAGATGAAATAATGCATAATTCTGGAACTTCCGAGAACATTTTTCCATTACCCAGAACTCTCTCATTCTGGGAAGTGCTCTGTGCCAATTTTTCCCGGCTAATGTAGATACCACTGTACTGTACTTTATTGTTCCAGATTCTATAAGGGGTGTGGAAACAAGGATGCATACAGGTTTTATCGCTGGTCTGGAATTGACATGTTTGTGTACTTCAGTCACTCCCTTGTTACAATACCACCACCAGGTTGGATTAACACAGCTCACCAACATGGAGTAAAAGTCCTTGGTAAGTTAAAAATGTAACTTCATATTTTACTGGTATGTATTGTATTTATGGTATATGCAGGGCTGTTATTTAATTTGCTATTAGTCTTTAATGATGATCTTCATATGACAATAATATTGGTATTAAAGTCAGAAGTTTGATGATTTGCCTGAATAACTAGGAGGAATGTGAATCAGAGCTGGAGATGGCACTGACAATGTTATCATGCTTGTGAAAGAATATAGCAGAGGTAGCAATGGTGGTGGAGGTGGCAGGGCTGGTGGTGGAGGAGGCAGGGCTGGTGGTGGAGGAGGCAGGGCTGGTGGTGGAGGAGGCAGGGGCAGTAGTGGTGATAGGAGGTACTACCACCTGGGAAGAGATTGGAGGCATAATGTGTAGTCTCATGGTAGACACTGCTGCTGTATGTATGGCATCACAAAAATTGTGACAGTTTAAGGTTGCTGTTCTGGCTGACTTTCTGTCTCATTTACACACAATTGGAGGGTCTCAATTTTTTCTCTTACTTTGACAACACAACATATACATAGTATCTCACTCATGATTTATTTTATGTTTTTCAAATCCTGCATTTATTTTTGGTTCAATTTATTTTTATATATTTATTTTATTTTTATTTTTTGGCCCCCAGAACCCGATGTGGGTTGGTGACATGTACCCTGATGAGCTAATCCCTGTAGGGGGAAAAAAAAAGACGAGAAAAAAAAATGATTATGATCTGGTATTTGCAGTAAAATTCTAGCTACAGATGATGGGGTTAATTGTAAAAATAATGAGAAACGAATGAGCAAGGGTGATGTACATTCCGTGAGGTAAAGATTATGATGATAAACACATGTTTCCAAGGTGTCTAGGCTCATTGACTAGCCAAGCTGAGTCAGCCTGCCACTGACTTCAGCTCAGGAGTGTAGGAGATTTATATTTACACTGTATAAGCACACTAGCCTGTCTGGCCCACTCTACAAATGATAATGCAAGGTGTTTCACTTATAATTTTGCTTGTCAAATTGAATAGGTACTTTTTCATTGGCTTATACCATAAAACGCTAAGCTCGTTAAACCAAAATCTCATTCAGTTACATGTTCTGTGGAACCTTCCTGTGTTTCATTGCTGTACACATTTCTGTATAGTATTAATGTATTTTCTAGTACAGTTCAGTACAGATATGTTTGCAGTGATCAAAAACATTAATATATTTTACTGTACTGGTATACATTACATGTATGTATGATCTAATCTTACTGAAGGCGATATCACTGTGCAGTATTGTACATTTTATGTATTTCACAGGGATTTACTGTACTGTACATTGTATACACTCTAGCCTGTAGATACATATTGAGTATGATACATATTGAGTATGATTGAAGACTTAAAAAGTTGTATTCTGTTTTTAATGTACCCCTGCCAGTAAAATAAACCACAATTTTCACTGGATTGAATTATTGTAACTGTGTAAGTTTGGAAACAATGATGCAGTGTAAGGGGTGATAGCAGCCTCCCTCCCTCTCTGCTCCATGCCCAGACGCATGTGTGGCATGCAACACAGTCAAGATCCTGCCCCATGTTTGGAAAAAGTGAGGGAGTGTGTGTAAGGTGGTAAAGACCTCCTTCATTTCCCCCACCTTAATATTCTTTTAGATAAAACATAAAAAACTTACAGTAAGGTGAAGTTTATTACATTTTGGAACAAGCGTCTGTCTGATGTTCAAGTACTGTAGGAGAGACAGGATTTATTCAGTGAAAATTTTCACACAAGTTCACAGTGGTTCAGCAAGTACATAAATAGTAAAGGCATTTGAACATTGGAAAAGGAAAACATTAATCATGTCTGTTCAACCAAGGGTAGCCCAGGCATGTTAGGTTATACAGTGACCCCTCGGTTAACGAACTCAATCCGTTCCAGAAGGTCGTTCGTTAACCGAAACCATTGTTTCAATGGGTTTTTGGGTAATTGGTTCCAGCTCACCGAAAATTTCCTAAATTCAACAAAAATGGTAGAAAAGTTCACTTACTTTGAGGTGTGTATGTAGAAGGCTCCTGGATGATGATGATGATGATGGGATTTAGAATGGGGGTGGAGGAGAAGGAAGAAGAGAAGGTATTGGGGTGGAAGAGAAGTCACCCCATGGTGCCATTTCACCCATAAAATTTTAGCTCTCTTGGTGTAATTCAAGATTATTTTCTTTAAATCAACACTGCACTGCATTATATATTGTCAATATGTAAAATATATTTCAAAATTACCAATAATTTGCTTGGAAACACAGAAAAAAAGCGTTTAGTTGAAGAGAGTCTCAAGCAAGATGTTACCTCCAGTGAAAACAGAGAGACACTAACGCCTGTTTGCTGTGTTAAGAGGCTGGATGCCGCGCATTAAACTAGTCACTTTACCTTCAATTATGTTCAATAATTGTTAAAATGACTATAAAATTGAATATTAAACTTTTAAAATTATTGAATAGTATAAACTTCTTGATATTTACTAAAATAGTAAGGAATTTAAGCCCTAGAACCGATTAATGTATTGGCGGACTGATACTAAAGCTGGTTGCCCGGTCAGTGCAAGCGAAAACATGTTAACCGAATTTTTGTTCGTTAACCGAATTGAAGATCCTTATGGAAGGCAGTTCGTTAACCGAGGCGTTCGTTAAACGAGGGGTCACTGTACCAGAATTTCCTGTGGTTTTAGACCATCCAATTCAAATTAGTCTAGCAGAGTAATGTATAGTACTATTGTATTGTCCTTGTGTTGTTATTAAATCTTTTATATCTGATAAACAATTTTTTTTTATCTTAGGAACATTTATCACTGAATGGGATACTGGTTCTGCTATTTGCAAAAAAATGTTGGCAAGTAAAGACTCGGTAGCAAATTGTGTGTCACAGTTGGTCAAGATTGCGAGCTACCACAGCTTTGAAGGCTGGCTCATCAACATTGAAAATGAAATTGATCCTGAGCAGGTGATGTACTGTATATAATTATTATTTTTCCTCACTGTGCAATAAGACAATGCCGGCATTTCACTGTATATGCACGTTGACCCATTCAATCTGCGCTTCACCAGTCTGCAGCCCATTAAATTGTTGTCCAAAATTTCCATAATTCACATAAAACCCTAGAATATACTGGAAAATATTTAAAATAATATATTTATTAATTTTATTATTACGGTAATAGTATTGGGAAATCTAAATACACGTATCACAAGTATTCCTTGTATTTTGTATAGAGTACAGGTCTCCCTTCCCAGTTGTGGCTTCTTCAATCATTGTTTATAATTCTGTGGTGAAGTAAAATGTACTGATTTCTCTCTCGCAGTGCTAGTGTCTTGCACTTTCTCAGTAATGATTACCTGATGGCAGCTCTTCATGCTATGTGGTCTCTTGCAGCTTCTCTCATCAGATGTTCATCTCAGATTATACCTCATGCCATGTCCTTAACCTACCCCTGGCTCTCCTCCCCCGGCCCCCACTTTCAAATTCATGCATCTCTTAAGCCAAATGATCTCCTCCATACTCTCCACATGACTGAACCATATCAGCCTACCTCTGCAAAACTTTGTCCATGCTCTCAATATTGTACCTAGCCACCGTCTTAGCTCTGTTTTGGACAGGTTTTTCTATCTGAACGTTACTTTACACATTAATGTTTTTCACATTCTTGTGTGATTTCTATTATTAATTCCAAAAGCTAGTACAGTACTGGGTATATACTACAGATACTACTCTTGTATGAAGTGTTTAAGAGTTGGGTAATGGTATACTGTATATTGTACTGTATTTTGAATAAATTGTCAACTCTCAACTTCCCCAGATTGGGCTCCTGAAAGATTTTGTGCAGCGATTGACACTAGGGATGAAAGAAGCTTGTCCCAGTGCAGTTGTGATATGGTATGACAGTGTTACCATAGAGGGAAAACTGAAATGGCAGAATGAGCTTAATGATCTTAACAGGTACAGTATACATGTACTCTATTGAAATAAAAGGTAAATTTTTCTAAATATTGAACTGTATACTATCAGTAACCTCTGTTATATTATTTAATGTTATTGATCGTACACAGGAACACCCAGGTTCATGAACGTTCAGGTTATATTACATCAGTGTAACAGACTACCCTCCCAGAACCTGACCAGTTATATACGAACGCTCCTCGGATATATGAAAAATATTTACTTTATTATAAAAAGGAACAAATCAATGAAATAGAAAGGAAAAATACTTCTGTGAATACCAATACAGTTGACCCTCAATGTAGTGTGAATTGATAATGCACTTGGAGTTAGAAAGGAGGATCTCAGGGGGTCTTTCAGGGGATTATATTGATTTCTTCATCAAATGTAATACAGTACCATGCCTTTCTTTAATACCACCAGATGCAACCACTTCTATTTTATATTCATTTTCTCTTTTTCTCACGGTGCTGTAGGGTCCACGTAACGAAATATTAGGTCACATTACAAAATACTCTGTACAACACTGAACTGAACAGTACACTGTCAACACTTGTCATCAGGCGATGAACACTGTAGATATTTACTGTGCTTAATTTTTATGGGCTCACATTGTGAATTAGTGTTTGACCGTGCAATAAAGAAAAGTGGGAGTAATTTAATGTGGTATTTCTGTTTTCTTAGGTTTGTCTCAAATACTTATTTCCCTCTTTACAGTACAGTACAGAGTAATGAATAAAATTTATATGTATGCATTATTAGTATGGTAATAGTCAACAACGGTACTATGATATGTCTTGAAAAACTTAGATGGATATTTTTAGAGGAGGTTCCAAGGTGTGGGTAGTGTGAGGTACAATATTTATAATTTTCCTGAATCTCAAAACATTGTACTAATATACTAATGTTTTGAACGTAAGAGTTACTGTAGGTGGAAGCAGAGTAAGACTCACAATTACTACATGGTGAAATTTTTGGGGATAATTAATGATACAGGTATAATAGAGTAATGTGACATGTGTGAGTAATTGGGTTTCCAATGTTGTTAGTTAGAAAATTATGCACCATAATTAAATTTTAAGACCAAGATTTTTTTTTTTATAAATTGACATACAGTAATTGGTCAACTTTCAATGGTTATTCTTTCCATTTATGGAACACATTTCCCTACAGGGCATTTTTTGATGCTTGTAATGGAATATTCCTCAACTACACATGGACAGATGATCATCTGAAACGATCTCAAGAAGCAGCTGGTGAGAGAAGTAGTCAGGTCTATGTGGGTCTTGATGTATTTGGACGCAATTTCTATGGAGGAGGAAAGTTTAACACCTTCAAGGTAATATAACTTCACTATTAACCCTCACGTGCACGAGATAAGCTTTAAGTTCCCAGTTCCAAGCTCACATCTCTGAGGCCCCTAGGGCAGGCGAGACAGTGCACGGTGAATATTTTTTTTATGCTTATCAATTCCACCCCAAAAAAAAAATTATTAGCATAAATCTTATATCTTTGGCTTCAGAACTGATTTCTCTGCAACTTAAGCCCCCAAAATAAAATAATGCAGGTAAATAGCTATTTTTCATCACTTCTAATAAACGTGAGAAAAAATACACCCCAATATGATCACAACCTCCCAGCTCAAAATTGTCAGAGTCAACTTTTCAAGTACTATGCACTGCTCGAAGCAAAATTTCATGAGCTTTCCAATGCAGTAACCAGATTTCTTATATGACCAACGGTTTTTGAGAAAATGGCAAAAAAATGATTCTAAATTTGTCAAAAAAAAAAAATTATTATTTTTGTGCCATTGTTTTATATCGTTATAAATTATATTGTATCTTGTAGCCAACGCTTTAACAAAGAGAACGGTACTGATAAAATCCATGGCAGTAAAAAATCATCCTATTTCAGAGACTTTTTTTTGAGACATTGGCACTATAACGAGGTTGTATAGACTGATACGGTTATGGCTTTTGAAAATTAAAAACTTTCCCTGTAAATATGAAAAAAATATTACTTTACACAACCATCGCTTCACTAACACTAAAAATAAATTATTTCAGGGAATATGGTAAGCACTGTAATCCAGGAGTTGAGGCAGCCCGCACGGAATTGTGGGAATTTAAATGGACAAGGCTCACACTCACGGTCTGACTGCTGAGATAATTCTGCACATTTATCGTTCCAGTCTTCCCTTCCTCTGGGCCTCGAGAGTTGCCAATTAGTTTAATTGATAGAACTTACTTGCTGCTATGATGCATCAAAATTTGACGCAATTCTGTTGAAAACTTAATTTTGGGCGACTTTTTTAAAGTTTGGCGACTCGATTTGCGTCACCGTGAAGTTGATCTTATCATGAATATGACGCGAATCACATCATCATGCACGAGAGGGTTAACCTATTTACTGTGGCTGTGTAATTAACCCTAAAGGTCTGATGAATCTTGGGAAGTCTCCCTTCAGAAACTGAATGGTAGGCTAAAAAATGACAATCATAAATGAATGTTCCAGTCTTATGAAATGTTAGACATACATGTTAGTCAATAGGAAATAACATAATTATTACTGTACTCACCACCTATGGTTATTGGCGAGTCAGCGAGACATCGTACCACAGCACCACTCTAGCAGTTATCGCACATCTGGGAGTGAACGGTTGTGTACTACCAACTCGCTCCACGTTCTTACAACTTCACAACACCTGCACATGGTTTCTTATTATTACACTATATACAGTACATTCACCACTCTGGCTTGAGTGGCAGGGCTTGGGAGCTGGAGTTCTAAGTGGGTAATCCAGAGAGGTAGACACATGACCTTCCTCCATGGTGACAACTGTTATACTGATTATTTGCTTAAGATGCGGTCAAGGAGAAGTGTGGGTGAGCGGGGATGAGCTATTGCCACAATAATAGTCACGCTACTCACGTGGGAAAATTAAAAATATTAAGTGCAATATTGACTACATCAGAACCCTACTACGTCAGTTGTCCTGGGACGATGTCACACCTTTAAGGGTTAATAGGCCTACCTCCCCGTGCAATAAGCTTTAGGAGCTAGTTTTTGCAGTGGGTCCAGGTGCAACAACAGTATATTCTGCCCCTTGACTTAATAAGTACAGTTAACCTACATAATTTGTAATGATAGGGGCACTACCCTTTTCTGAAATACAACAAATTTTGATTTATGATGTAATCAATACAATGTTGCTGGCTAAGTAATTGCATAATTTACTCTAGTTGTATTTTTATCATTTTTGTATAAGTAATAGTGTTAAGCAGCAATTATTTATGGTAGTTAAGTCAATAAGGCAAGTCTGATGAGGTTTACAGGTCTTGTTGCATTTATATATTGTTTTTGTACCAGAGCCAGCCTTCTCTGGGGGAGGGGGATGGGTTGCTCGAGTTTTAAGATGATGTAGTGTATTGGAGAGCCAGGGAACAATATGGTGCACACGAAGGTCATCAGGTGGCATCTAAACACTCTCCTACATACATGAACATGATTTTCTTTAATAAATGATATCATATAATTTGGTTATAATTGAAGTACTGTACAGTACTTACAGTAAAGTATTCCCTCGCCAACTGCTGGGGTTAGGTTCAAGAAAAATGCCATACTAATCCGCAGATACTCGAAATACAATGGTGTGATTGGTGAAATGGTATACAGAGTAAAAATCGTGGATACCCGGAATACGCAGTTGATGAGAGTCTACTGTACACACAAGTTTCTCAATTTGTTTTATTTTTGTCTATTGAAAATTGTTGAAAAAACAACTCCTGTATCACCAACATTTGTCCTGCAGGGAAAAAGTTTGGTTTTAGATTTAATCTGATAATTAGCATTTGAAGACCAACTTCATTTCCCACAATTTGTCTCCATGATACATAGAAAATACTGTAGATCCACAATCCTGGATCAGATATATAAGGATCAGTGCCCAACCTGACAGTGTTATAATGTGTTATTCCATCACCAGGCCATGGAAGCTGCTAGAGCCCACAACTTGTCAGCTGCCATCTTTGCCCAAGGATGGACTTATGAAACTCAAGATAATTTTGTTGAAGCCGAGAATAGATTATGGGACTCCTTAGCACCGTACCTTGCACATCACGGGCCCCAGTGTCTACCCTTCCGAACATCATTTTGTCAAGGCTTTGGAGAAAAATGTTTTCTGCGGGGAAAGGTGAGGCTCTCCCACCACCATTTTTTTCTCTCTTCTTCAAATATAATTACCACTCATACACCACCTTATTATAACAAGTAACATGCTAGTTGTGACCTTGGACAGAAGAGCTATGCTGTACATTTTTTTTTTTTTTAGTAAATTTTTGGGCAACCAGTTAATTTTTTTAATATAAACCCGACTAAATTCTACATACAATTTATTGTGCTTTCACAAAAAAAAAAAAAAAGTGGAAAATGTAAAAACAAGAAATAATTTTGATGATGTGAAGTCATGTATTACAGTTTTCAATACAATCAACTTGTATTTTAGCCAACAGACAACCAAGTCAGGGCAACAGACAATAAGTGTTAGATAACAAAAAAAGCAGAAATTTTTACACCTTATATTGGTGAAAAGCAGAAATTTTTACACCTTATATTGGTGAAATAATTTGTTCTTATAAGGCTGGTAAATTGAAAAACACTGAATACAGTATCTTGAATTTTTTCCAAAATTGTTCACTCTCATTTTAGTTATGCCATTATTTTTGTTTATTTATTTATGTTATTTTTTTTTTTTCCGTTGGTTAGTACAGGGTATAAGTGTCTTGGCATGTTATGGTGGTTGCTGCAGTGTTTACTTACATTAGAAACAAAAGTTACATCTGACAGCTTTTTCTTTATACAAAAGCAAACATTTATTTTCATGAATAACAATCATATTTTTCTTTAAAGAATTCAGATTATTATTTGTCACACAGTCAAGATGGCCACCCAGAATGCACAGTGAGGCATTTATGCTCTACTGTACAATGTTCATCATTTTCAATGTACAGTACTGTAGTTTATATATTATCTATTATCATTTTTACAGGACATATAGTGGTGAACTTTGTGTGGAAAACCCCCCAGTAATACACGGGATCTACCATTCCATATACCGGGCACAGTACTTTTTTTTTCCACTTCACTTTTTATATTTTTTTACTTTTATTCTCTTCACCACTGATTGGCTCGTTGGCCGCTTAGGTAATCTGTCATCTCTCTGTTATGCACGGTTGGCAAGTACTGAGCATGCACTGGCTCTTGAAAGTATCTGAACCTGCTCCAGTGCTGGTCAAGTCTGGTCTTCAAAGAGCTCACACTCGGTGCCATCACAACACTCTCTAGCAGGTTGTTCCAAAAGTTCACAACTCTCACTCCAAAAAAGTTTGCCCTCCCAGTTTTCTGGACTTGCAGCTTCTTCAACCTTGAACTGTGACCCCTTGTGGGGCGAGCGTCCGGCAGCTCCTTTGGACATTTTCGATCAACTGACAGTCCCTTGCATATCTCGGGAAAACACATCACTCTTGAAGATCGTTACAAGGGACAGACCATCTAGATTCAGTATTTGAACAACCATCTTAAAAGACCTAATAATTTAGTTGCTTGGTTCACCTTCTCACAGTGGCCCGAGAACTTCAGCTCATTGTCAACATACACACCTAGGTCCTTCTCACATTCAGTCTCAACTAGTGCAGTTTCTTCATCCCGTTGGGACATATGATACTCCTCCTTACCGTTGGTACGCCCCAGGTGCATCCTCTTACACATCGTGACATTGAATCTCAGCAGCCATTTCTTCGACCATTCCTGGAGCCCACAGAGGTCCTTCTGCAGCTCTTCACAGTCCGCTTGGTTCTTGATTTCCCGAAATAACTTGGCGTCATCGGCAAACATTTGTATGGAGGAGTGTACAACGTCAAGCATGTCATTTATGAAACAAACAAACAACAGCGGGCCCAATGCACTGCCCTGTGGTACCCCACCTGTAACAGGTATGGATGACGATTTCGTGCCATTAATCACCACACACTGCTTGCGATCATAGAGAAAGTCTCTGATCCACACTAGGACACTTCCCCAAATCCTGTACCCTTCCAGTTTAATTTTCAGCCTTTCGTGGGGTATGCTGTCGAAAGCCTTGGCAAAATCTAGGTATATATTGTCGACATTACCTCCCCGTTCCAGAATTTGGGTCCAAACATCCAATACCTTGAGTAATTGTGCTAAGCAGGAGCATCCCGGCAAAAAACCGTGATGGCGTTCCTTTACAAGGTTGTTTCATAGTAGATGTTCAATCATGGCATCTCTTATAATGCTCTCAAGTACTTTACATAGTATGCTGGTCAGGCTCACTGGTCTATAATCATTCATGGAGTAATGATCGCCCTTCTTGAAAATAGGACTCACATAAGCCATTTTCGAATCACGGGGGACATTTAGCTCATCCAGGCATTTACAGAGCAGGATCTTCAGGGGCTCAGGAAGCTCGTTGCACAACTCTCTTAGTACTCTGGAATGCACCATGTCAGGGCCGGGACTCTTATGAACCTTTTGCTTTGACAATTTATTTCGTATAACTTCTTCTGAGAACACAATGTGGGTCAGCACTGTGTCGAACCGTCTGTCCTCAAACGCAGGAAGATTGTTTGCATCCTCTCTTGTGAACACTTTTGGTCACACAGGTGGAGCTTACATAAAGTGATGGTTTTGTTTTGGGGGATTTTATTAATAAATATATTTGTTAATTGCAGGGTCATACAATTTATTATTAAATTTTGAACAACATTAACATCATCTCTCTGTAATTCCAGATTGTGAGGAATGATCCTTGGCATAACTTGAGTAATCAACATTATCAGCCTCTGTGGTCTCAAGTAAGTTTAGACTTATGAAACTGACTCTTTATAACTTATCACCAATTTGGAATGACCATACAGTACATATATACAGTATACCTAAATTCATCATGTTGCATGTGTTAGGCATGTGTTAACCTATATTACAATGTGCCAGTGAACCTAAATTGCACTTCATTTATGTCCACTCCCTCCCTTCTTAATTACATTGTCCACAACTTTCATAACCTGATCTAACCGCTTCATGCCCCTGTAGGTCTTGTATTCAAGTGCATCACTTTTACCCTCCTGGTATTTGTATGGAACTTCCTCTGATGCTTTTGACATTTTTGCAACTACATTCCATAACTTTTAGCCACCTTTCCATTTGTCAGTTACATTTTTCATCCATTAATTTTTATTCTTTGGGCATGGTTCTGCTACCCTTGTCCCATTTGTACTCTTCATTCAGTATTAGGTCATAGTATTTTCTCCAGGCATCCTTAATTTCCTCGTTGTCAATAACCACAGCACTCTACTATGGTCATTTCCCACACACACTGCTCACCAACAACATTCCTGCTTCTACCCAAGGATGATACGGTATACAGTACTCGTAAAATCTTTGGTCATTTTTTTTCTTCTTCCATAAATAAGTTTTCAAGGTTTAGTTCTCTATTTTGACGTTTGTATAATCAGAAATCGATGTATTGTTAGTACTGTAATAGTTTTCTTCTCTCTTAATAGGAAGGAGATGCCAAATTGTCCTTGGTGACTTGTGACGCCTTCAGTGGTGGTGGGTGCCTGAGCTTAACCACAGCATCTACAGCTACAGTCAGGTGAATAAGGTTTAATGCTGTGTGTAATTATCATCCTCATTAACCCTAGAACACTAATGTGGGGGTTGTGTAAAAATTCCAGTATCGTGGGGTAGGTTGAGGTCGTACACCAACGGGGAAAAAAAATGTTACAATGACAATTTATTCAAGTAAAAAATTACACATTAACTTCAAGTATTGCTCTTTATTACCCACCCCTAGAAACGAAAGAAAGTGTATTATACAAGGGTAGCTGAAAAAAAAAAAAAAAACTTGAAAACGGTTAACGAAAAAAAATTGGTACTTAAATATTCCTACTGCAAAGACTACAGAGGCTTGGAACTTAGCACTCCTGGTACACATTCCCCAGACATGTAACTTGCTTTAGCTGGAAGAACAGCCAACCTGCATCACCATGATTTGCAGGGCATTATGAAAATTACAACAAATTTAGAGGTCGAAAATTGGCAATTTATATTGACACTGTAGGAATCCCCATATAAATGAACACTGGAATCACTCTCATATGGGTTTGGGAAATAGTCGTCATCGTTCTCACTCTCAAACATTTCCTCTACTTCAATACTATCACTGTAATCATGACACTACTGCTTTTGTTCACCATCTCGTCAATTTCCTCCTGGGACATAAACTTTTTAGACATTTTGGATATACTGTACAGTATTTTAGTTTATTTGTTTACAAGTCTCTTTCTGAAAGAAAAATGGAAACACAAGGGATAAAACTCGTATTTCAAAAGTGTCAAGCAATTTCACAGCACCCCTCCAAACACTAACATGGGGTAGAGTATACCCCAACGACACAATTCCACAAAGACCGGATTAGATACCAGAGCGATGCACCCATACTCTGTGAGGTCTCGGCAAGCACTAAGGGTACAGGGGGGCCCAACCTCTGAGTCACGCAGGAACCGCGGGAACTTCAGATCCATGCAGCTGCCCGGGGTAGGATATACCCCACATTAGTGTAAATATCATCCTCATCATCATCACAAACCATCACAATTTTATGGCCATTTTCCTTGCTTGTGTGGGTTAGCCAAGACTACCTGATGGCAACTCTTCATGCTGCACTGGCTATTGCAACCTCTCTTGTCAGGTTCTTATCTCTGTGGTTGTAGTGTAGATAAAGTTTGTACCTGATTTATGAACATTCAAAGTTGTGAAAACAGTATATTCCATGCTAAGTAATACTGTACAGTTACTGAAAATACACTAAATTGAAGCTGTCAATATGCTTAATTGTTTCACTAATTGATTTGATTACTGTATTCTCAAGCACTCAGTGTTATTAAGTCTACAAATAAGTTTCAATGTACTATTATCATTCTCCTACCATGGGGTGACTTCTCTTCCACCCCAATGCCTTCTCTTCTTCCTTCTCCTCCACCCCCATTCTTATTCCCATCATCATCATCATCATCAGGAGCCTTCTACATACACACCTCAAAGTAAGTGAACTTTTCTACCATTTTTGTTGAATTAAGGAAATTTTCGGTGACTGGAACCAATTACCCAAAAACCCATTGAAACAATAGACTCCGAACGACCTTCAACGGATTGAGCCAGCTGCACTAAATTGAAGCTGTCAATATGCTTAATTGTTTCACTAATTGATTTGATTACTGTATTCTCAAGCACTCAGTGTTATTAAGTCTACAAATAAGTTTCAATGTACTATTATCATTCTCCTACAGTAACCACATAACTTACTCATCAAACTCACTTAAAAGACAAGTAGACTCCTCACTTGGCCAGCTGCTGGACTGTCCAATTTGTCCTCCTGAAATATGTGGAAAATTAAATAAAAAAAAATAACTGCATCTTCAACAGAGAAAATTTTTACTTTTCTTTTAACTTTGGTCATTTGTGAATCAATCTTTATCGAACTTAACTTCTTATGGGAAATTGGGGTTAGGTTATGGAACTTGTTGCACAATTTGACTTTGTTCACCTATATTATGCCTATATCTGATAAGGAGCAGCCCTGGTTGTCAGACATAATGGTGTCACAACAGTTGAGAGTACAGTACACATAAGAATAATGAAAATAACATATGAAGTACAGTATACTGTATTGTAATGTATTATGGAGGTAGAGTAAATAAAAGAAAAAGAAAAGAGGTTGAAGGTGGTGAGGGATCACTTTCTGGCTCTTCTCTCTCCTCCACAGGTCATGTGAGAACAAATAACTTTTGGCACAAGTTACATTAATTCTATGGTTTAACTTGACCAATATTGATTTCAAAGGTGTGTGAAAACATTAATAATATTTTATTAATATTAATAAAATTAAATAAAGATAAGCAAGGAATTGGGCGATTTATTTAATCGGACAATAATTATATGTGAACTTTTTACTTTTGGCAAATGTCCTGACTCCCTAGATGCTGCTGGAATGTACACAAACCCATTTATATCACGTTTAGAGAACTCTCAACATTATAAATATACTACACAGTATTTAATGTATTGTTTTATTCAAAGTATACATACAACAATGTTTTTCTTTATTTTGTTATTTAAGAAGTAAAGCAAACATTCAACAGAGTTTCTGTGTGTGTGGAAGCAAAATTTTACCTAGCAAGGAATTTTTTTTTTACCTAAACCAGGTAAGAAAAAGTTTGGTGTATGAGAATCTGGTTTTCTGAGAAACAGTTTGGATGGTCTGTGCCAGTAGTACTTGTAAATACTGTAATACTAATCTATAGAAAACGGTGTGTTTTTTTCTTATATTGATGATGATGATGATGATAACAATTTGAGTCATTCTGTGTGCCAAATTTATGTTTTGAGAAAGCACGAGTGAAAGTTTTAAAACATCAATTGGAATAACATTGTCATCCATTATATGCAAAACAGTATCATTTTCACCCTTTTCCACATGTTTCTGTCTTATGAGTGTAGCCTGACATACAGTTGCTCATCACTATCAGAAAAACTTGCCACAAATGCAAGAAATGTAAATTTATGGCAAAAAAGTGCAGCATCACACCTTCACATAAGTAACAGTGATCGAGTAGTACAGCTGCTGAATCTAGTAATAAACTCAACACTTATTGGCTGACAGAGCCATGAGATGCAACTGTCATGCCGATTGGTTGTTGGCCGAGGCAACCTACACTAACCCAGAACCATGCAGCATTATTATTATCCTTTTTTCTTTTTGCTGTAAACACCATTGACCATTAATAATTATTAATTTTCATACATTTCCTATATTATTAGCTAAGATTTCATACTGTAGTGCAATGTTTGTTATTTTCTGAAGTTGACTTTTGAATATCGATACCCCATGGCCGACCATGGCCACCTGGAAAGTGTGAATTGTTATTAAACTTCTGTTCTCCGTGGTGGGCAACAGAGAACAAGTTTAATGGTGTCATGAGATATAATTTCATACTTCTGTTCTTCATTTCCAGGTTATTTGTATGTGGGATAAGTTGGAGATTAGCGCTGCTTGTGTCCGTGTGTTACAAGTGGCAAGGGCCAGTGGTGCCTTTTAGCTTATTGCTACACCTTGGGCCAACTACCTGCACTGAAGATGTAGCTACAATTAAGAGGTAAAAATATTTTTGTCTTATTTCCTGATTTAATTCATGAATTATAATCGTAGGCTTTTAATCAAATTGTTTAAAAATGTGTGGAGGTTGAAAGGTTTGTATGCGGATCTGCATGGTGACTATCTTTAAACACGGTAAGTAATTTATTGAATAGAGATAGATACAGTGGATATTTATGTGGCCATCGTGACAGGACATATTGTACTCCTTATTATGTGGAAATATTGCTCATTGATTGTAATTCACTCCCACTGAAAATAATTCAACAAAATTCTACATAAGTTGCACCTTTATAAGATGATGTGCTGCATACAAGAATTTATAGTATTTCCACGCTAACCTGGCCCATAAGCCACGCCCATTTCCACACTAACCTGGCCAGTGAGTGGTTCCCCTGAGCGTTTTACCTCCCCCCTCCCCCCAAACTGAGCTTATATAAGCGTGTATTTATATCGACCTTTTATAATAAATATTTAAAATTTTCTAATATCGTCTCTGAAGTTCTAATGCCTTAAAATGATTTGCATTTTTATAGTCCAGATATTCCATACTTTGGAACTTGCTTATTGTTGTAAAGGCATCCCAAACCTAGTGTAGTAATACAATCATGCCTCCTAAGCATTCAGCAAGTTCAACCACCACTCCAGTTTCTAAGGGTTCACATGTATCTATTCTTTTCTCGAAAAAGAAAGAGATAATTGATATGCATAAGCGAAGTGAACGGGTATCCAATATTTGCCGTGTCTTTGGATTGTCGTCATCCACGGTGTGTACTCCTGAAAAATGCTGCCAAGATTACAGAAATGGCTGGTAGTAGTGTGTCCAATGCAAGTGTGCAGGCTACTCATAGTCATGATTGTGTTTTGGAGAAGATGGAGAGGTTACTACGAGTCTGGGTGGAAAACAAGAACCAGGCCCACATGGCACTCTCCTCGGCAATTACTGTATAATAAGGAAAAGGCACGTGCATTATGGAGGTAGTGTAAGGATAAATTTGACCCATGAGTTACTAGTGGTGAAGGTGAAAGTGAGAGTGTGTAACAAGGTGCTGGTGGTGATGGCACGAGTGCTGGAAGCAGTGGCAATAGCACCCGTGGTGCAGGCAGTGGTAACGGCGAACGTGGTGAAATTGCTGTCGGCACCACTTTCACTGCTACTGATGGGTGGTTGGCACGATTTAAGATCCGTGCTAACCTCCACAACATTAAGATGACTGGAGAGGCGGCTAGTGAGGACACTGCAGCAGCGGCTAACTTCCCGGATGAGTTTGCCAGGATTGTCCAGGAGGGGGGCTACACCCCGGAGCAGGTGTTTAGCTTCGATGAGACTGGTCTCTTCTGGAAGCATATCCCATCCAGGACTTTCATCTCCAGGGAGGAAAAGTCTGCACCTGGGTTTAAGGCCAGCATGGACTGCCTGACGCTGCTTCTTGGTGGTAATGCAGGAGGAGATGTTAAGCATAAACTCCTATAAGTGTACCACTCATAAACTCCACATGCACTAAAGGGGTGTGTGAAGGAGAGTTTGCCAGTTGTTTGGCAGTTCCACGAAAAGGCCTGGGTAACACAAACTTTGTTTAGGGACTACATCCTCGACTACTTCTCACTGTTCATCAAGAAATACACCAGGGAGAATAACCTGTCCAACTAGTGTTTGCTTGTGTTGGACAATGCCCTTGGTCACCCAACGACATTGGACGAGCTGTGCACTAACGTCAACATTATGTTCTTGCCCGACTAACACCACAGCACTTCTCCAGCCACATTCAAAGCATATTACACCAGACGCAGCATGCAACAGTTGGTAAGGGAGACCGAGAACCAGACAATCAAGCAATTTGTAAGTAGTACACCATCAAACAGGGACTGGAAAACATAAAACTGGCCTGGGATAAAGTTACATCATCCAACATGAATGGTGTATGGCAGAATTTGTGGCCTAACTGCATGCGTAGTTTCCGGGGCTTCACAGCAGAGAGTGTGCTTACCATCCGCAACCCGATTGTGGAGCTCGCTCAGGAGGTGGACACTGATAATGTGGCTGAACTCCTGGATTTACACACACAGGAACTCATGGATGAAGAACTATTCCTTCTCGACAAACAGCGGCATGGGGAGGAGAACAGAGATCCTGGCGCTAGAGCTTCACCGGAAGTGAAGGAGCTGACTGTGAAGACACTGGCCGCTATCATTGATTCCGCCAGGCAGTCCATTGAACTATCCCTGGACAATGACCCACAGCTGGAGAGGGCCTTTGACTTAGAGGCAAAGGCGTTGGAAGCGCTGCACAGGTACGAGGTGCTGCAGCAGGAGAAGAAGGCTAAGGCGAGGCAAACAACACTCACCCAGTTTTTCGCAGTCAATCCTTCAGGCCAGACTACAGAACCTCAGCCTTCTACCACCAGAATGTTTTGCACCAATCTTCAAGGTTCCTCTTTCTCCCACCAAGGCCAAGTTGCCTTCCATCTCTGGGCCTTCATCTCCAGTCCCTTAAGTTGTTGATCCTGACGTTCCTGTCCCTGTCTCTCCATCCTCCGATGATCAGGAGGAGACAGAGAACATGTAACCGACCATCACACCTACTGCCGTCTACCTGTTGCACTGTACATGTTTATTTCCCAGTTTTTTTGTGCCAGTTTAGTAATTATATACAGTATTATCTTCCTATGGTTGCGCGTATGTACCTCTATCCTGGTTAGAAAAGAATATTATGTCAGTGTTGTCGGTGCTTGGGAACGCATCCCTATTAACCCATGTATTATTCCCTCCCTTATACGAGTTTTCGCGATACGAGCAGACTCCAAGAAACTTATCATCGAGATTTTTCTGTACTAAGCTTTCAGTACACAAGGAGTCAAAGAGTCCATCATTGCATTTTACTGCCTTCATTTCCTAATTGAAAAGTTAGGTACCTGTAATGATTTGCAAGAGACAGAAACTCTCATTAAATAGCTTTAACTGTAGTCAGTGATGAAGCCAATTCTTCCCATTATGTACTGCAGTAGGATGAACAGTTCAATTTCTTTAAATACCTTAGTGTTTTGTGTATTTATTCTTTTTTAATTCCTTTTTTTGTTTTACAGGATATTACCACTACAATGTGAAAAATATTCTGACAAACACATGGATGATAATGCTCATGCTGAAAGGTGTGCGGAGATGGAATCAGGAAGTTCTAAAATTGAGAAGAACGATAAAAATGATGTGGCTGAACCTTTGTTGGTGGTGGACACAAAAGAAAATGACTGGACAGTTAAGTTAGTCTATGCGTGAACACTGTACTGTTTTATTTGTGTTGAATTAGTATCTGAGGAGAGAAAACATAGTGTTGTTGTAGTTGTGAATGATTAAATAGGTCATTCAAGTCCATTGACCATACAGTATTATGGTATTACTTTTCAATTTCTTCTCTTTCAGATCATTCATCATCAAGGAAGTAGAAGGATGTGAACTGAAGCAAATTGACATTAATTTAGGAGGAGGATCAACACTCTTAATTGGAGAGCTTCACATTAGCAATCAATGTATCAAAGGGGATCCGTCTAGCTGAGCACCAGATTGGGAAAGTCTGCTGCTACTTACCGTACTACCAGAAGCACCTTTGGTAGCAAGTTTAATTTTTTTTAACAGAATACAATAAATTAATAAAAGCTGCATCTGAAATTAACAATTTGGAAATATTCCGAAATTCAGACCGTATTTATTTATTTATTTATTTTGAAAATGGACCTACTAACTGTAGAAGTTTATTAAATCCAAATTTTGGAAAAGGCCCAACAATTCTGTTTGAAAGGCATAGCAAAAAGCAGATAATTAAAAAAACAATTGGATACAGTATTTGAGAATCTGGGCACATCACAATTTTCTCTTGCTTCAGTGTGATGCTGCATCAGTAGGCCTGGATTGTTTGTAAATAAACAGTCAGCAGTTTGGTCTGTGGTTGTGATAACTTAATTTATCCCAGCCTATATTTTGGAAATTATAATTTAATATCACTTAAAAGACATACTGTAAGGTGGGGTGTGACCTACTCTGTTGTCTACCTTTTATCAATAGCAGTCCAGTTCTCCCATTAGGCTCATTTGCTCTTTTTGCTGTGGCCAATCCATGAAAAATCAACTACTTTTATGGCTATATCAATGACTTCCAAAGATTTTATGTAAAATGTTGCAAAGGAATCTGATGTAAAACACTGAAATTTGCTTATTTGAAACGTGATTTACTGTACTGTATGTTTTTTTTTTAATAAATGAAAATTATTTATGAAATAATATATAAAAAGTACAACTAACCTGAAGGTTTTTGTTGTTCCTGGTGAGACTGGTGGTGGATCACCTTTATAGAAGACCTACAGTATTTAACCTTAGAAGGAATAGTAGACAACCTCACTCATGTTTCTTCTCCTTTTGTTTGTAATCTTTCCATTGTCTTACGTGTGTGTGTGTGTGTAGAACCTCAGTTCACACAAGTAAGCTAGGGAAAACTACAGCAGGATTAAAAATCTTTTTCTGGTCATTAAGCTGTGTCTACAATGTGTTAAGTGCCATTTCCTCAGTGCTTCACTTTGAAAATGTGATCATTGTCAAGGCTTTCATTACCGTACATATATATATTCCTGTATTTATTTATATATATATATATATATATATATATATATATATATATATATATATATATATATATATATATATATATATATATATATATATATATATATATATATATATATATATATATATATATATATATATATATATATATATATGTGTGTGGAAAATACTGATGGATTTTCTCCTTTACTTCACTATGTTCATGAACCAGTCAGTCATTCAGTCTCCATTATTTGTTGCTGCAACATTTGTGAACATCAATATTTTCTACTTCCTGAGCTTTATCTTATCTCTCAGAGCATTACAGTAGTCTCATTTGAAGAAGATAAGATATTTCTGTTAGTTTACTTTACTTTACTTTATCCTCTTTGCCACAAATCGTCTCATTAGCCTCTTGGGCGATCAGTCGCGCCTCTGTTACACCCTGTTGGCAAGTATTGGGCATATCCTGGCTCCAGAATGTATCTGTACCTGTGCCAGCTTCCTATGCTTGCTACAATTTACCTTGTTCATTTTTTTTAAATATCCTCTAAGTAAAAAGCATTTGGCACACCAAGTTTCATTCACCTGAAAGCCACAAAACTTTTCTTTTCTTGCTTCTCAAGAGTAAAGAACATAAATATTTCTTCTTCCAGTTCATGTAACTTGTGTGTGGAGGGTCAAGTTCCTGTACAGTATCGAGACCCTATACAGGTATCTTCACAAAGCATAGCAAAGAAACATGGCTCAAGTGGATGGCTTTTGATATAGTTTACAATCGTTATGCAATGTTTTGTTCTTGCAACCAGCAGTTATGATGAAAAAAACAACATATAATAATATTGTTGTCTATTCATTAATGACAAGACTTCTTCCACCTGTTAGAACACCAAGATGATGGGGCCGTTGGGCATTATCATCTTTATGCCTGTCATGTGTCACACAACATCTACAGCAGTGGTTCTCAACCTTGTTTGCCCCATGCACCCCTTTCACCATATGTCAGAATGTCATTCCCCCCTCCTTTCCAAGATTGTCTGCCTCAAAAAGTGCATTCCAAATAATATGCATATAATACTGAAAATCCTTTATTTTTTCCATATTTGTATCAGTTTCCCCCCCCTGAAAACCTGAGGGGGGAAATTCACCCCTGGTTGAGAACCCCTGATCTACAGCATCGTCATCATTTGAACATCCCAACTTCAGGGGTGTCACCACCAGGAGTAGCAGACAGATACGTGCCCCTGCCAGATACTGTGACGCCATCTCCCCGCAAAGGCACCTCATTGACATGTCGTCCCCTACAAATTCCATCTGCCTGCCAAGATGGGCATGAGTCAAATGATATCACAGACGGCATTGCCCTTCTGATAACCTCTCACAGATCAGCGTCTCCTGTAGGCCTATAGTGGACCAATCATCAGCCGGCTGGCTGAAATACAAAATATGCACAAACTTCAACCTCCCCCAAAAATCACAACTCCTATGCAACTTCCTAACAGACAGACAAATGAGAAGTCAATTCAAACATGAAAACTCAGACTACTTCCCACTGAATGCAGGAGTTCCACAAGGCTCTGTTCTCTCCCCAACACTATACATATTTTACACTAATGACCTGCCTGACCCCATCCATACTGACTCACTGACCACAGTTTGCCGATGACGTAACACAACTAGTCAGACAAGGAACAGCACTAGACTACCTTCCAGAAAAAACAAGAAGGGAACTCATACAGGTCACAAAGTGGGAACTCAAATGGCATATACAAACAAACTCCAACAAATCACAAATCACCTACTTTGGCACAAAAAGACATACCTAAACCCATACTAAAACAACCCAACACCCATACCAATAATAGACAAACAAAGTACTAGGTGTAATATTCGACCACACCCTCACCATGAGACACCACATCATCATGAAGAGAGCAATAGCACAAAAGGGACTCGCAGGCGTACAAAGATTCAAAAGTGCAACAACAAAAACCAAAACACATGCACTTATACAAAGTACTAATATGCCCCTGTTAACAGACGCATGTAGTGGACTTCTCCCCTACAACTGCGTATCCGCATTCCAATGTCACTGTGTCCTAGCAACCGAACCAAAAGACCGGCGACTTCTCGGGTTTTCCCAACATGACTCATAGCGGCTGCTGGGTATATAAGCTCTGTCTCTCCATTGAGATTCATTCTAGCCTCTCTTCCATCCTGAGTGCTAGACAACATTAATATCTCGATACCCCTACACGCACTCCAGTTAGCAGCACCAACCAACATAAAAAAAATACGTCATACAGAATGAAGCACTGAAGTTCGTACACAACACACACACACACACTGGACACAATTCATCACAAACGAACCCCTTCATGAACAGAGCAACTTTCCACCTCAACATCTACTGGAGACAATTAGGTGATAAACAGAAAAAACTCCTAACCACACACCCACAATGGCAGGAATACTTTGACAACATTATACTTCATCCCAGATATAGAAACAGAAATTACTCTATACTAAACAGACCCAATACACCATATCCACCCCCTCTATACTAAAACACACAAGCAACAATAACATTCCTATATATGCACCTGGACGGCCTGAGAACAATCCAGATACACCACATCAAGTCGCTATGAGTTCAGATATTCTCCTCCCTCTACTCCACTTAAACTCTGATTGCGCAACAGCAATATCGTAACCAATTAGGCTTATCCGAGGTGCGATTATTTCTAAGCAAATCTGATAACTGTTCCCCACTTTCACATTAAAAGGCTTTACGACGATACCCTCATTCTTCCACGCAACGAGAACTCTTGACATTTTAAGATCAGAAATTCAAAACTCTTCTTCTCCAACTAGCTCCATCCCATCTTTGGCATAAGCTCAAAGACTGTACCTTCATCTGTCACCAAACAACTCTACTACTAATCTACTTCTTCTTTTTCCACTGGGTGAGGCCGACTGGGGCTCTGGGTTCGGGCTGCAGCTTTTTGAGTCTTGTCATGTCGGTTGTGCTGCTGGAGATACTGTAGTAACAATCCTATAGCAATCTGGCATGCTGTATTAAGCCACAGTACCTATTTCTACTCCTACTCTTACTACTCACTTCCATCTACTTGTTGTCCTTCCATTGAACATTTTTACTCCCGGCACTTGGGATTTATGTATGTATGTACGCCCTCAAGAAGAACAAAAATTCATCATTGACTTCACTTTCAAATACTTCATGGCCGCCACAAGGCCAAACACCTACAATCCCTTCACAGACTTTAACTCCACCTTTAACAACGTACACTAACCCGTAATCCTAATGGCCGACCTCAACGTGAAACACACAACATTCCAACACAATCGCTCTAATTATCATGGCCAACAACTACACACAAAATCGCCATCACATTGGACCCTTCTTCCCCACATTCAACGTTGGGAGCGGCAGAGACATCCCCAGTCAACATCAATCACAAACACACTCACCCATCAATTTCAACACTACATTTCGCCAGGCCCACTACACCTCTCCAACAACCCAATTCTTCTCCCAGCACCCACACCACAATACCAATACTAACACGCAGACTGGGACGCATTCAAATCAAACTTGCAGAACAACACTACACACTCAACCTCGAACACTAACCCACAGGAAAAATAGAGGAAACATGGTCACAACTTTTTAACACAATCACCACCGTAGCAGACAGGCACATGCCAAAACACTCACACGAGAAGAGATACTCCTTCACACCCTCTATAAGAACAACGCCTACTACACTGCTAGCTACAGACGACGATTTGAACAGAACAAGCACAACCTTGCACCAGCAAAAGCAGACACCACACTAAGAACACATATCATTCACAGCCTTCGCTACGACCACGAAGTGCACTGGGTGTACTGCGCACATCATTGTCATCCCTAAAAATCCCATCTAATTCATATTACGCTACATAACATTCAAATGCACAGCGCTTGTAGAACCCCAGAAAACGGGAAACATTGAGAAAGGACAACTCACCTACTCAAGGTTCCTAGACCATGTGTGGTATTGTACCCAGGTATAGTTATATCATATCAAGTGTATGTATTCATAGCATTAAGGATCACTCAGGGTAGGCATAAGATGAATGTTAAGTCCAGTTGAGCCGGACTAGGGTACTGTAAGACTAAGTGTGGAGCAGGGTTTGAAGGTCCTACTATTTACGTCTGTGAGCGTGTAGCGAACCTAACCCCAACAGATATCATATGAAAATACATGAGAACAATGATCGGGAAAAAGGGATAAATGTATCAGAACTATGTGAGGTGTTGACAGTGATCTAGAAACTATACTGGAAAGGAAATATCGTGTATGCGTCGGTATGAATTTAATACACCTCGTAGCCTCACGTGACATATACCCACGACAGGTACAGTGATCAGAGAATCTGAGGTCTGTGTTCAAATCGTGCGCTGTGTGAGAGGAGGATCCCTCATTACAGTTTTTAAGTGAAGTTGATACACCCCCGCCATGATCATTCGGCTTTTGTTTCAAGGCGCGTCATGTACCCGCCTCAGATGCCCGTTGATATTAAAATCCCAGGCATTTAACCAAGCACTAGCAAACCAAGACCTGACCTTAGTGTATAAGTTAGGATTAATATATGTGTTTATAAGAAATGAGTGACAATATACCGTAAAGTGTTC